GGTTGTCCACCCGCCGTTCCACCCGCGGGAGGTGGAGTGGTGACCAGCGGGCGGTGCCGCGGGTGGAGGTCCACCCGTGGTTCTACCCACTGGTACCTGTAAGGGGGTGTGGCGGGTGGTTGTCCACCCACCGTTCCGCCCACTGGTAGGTGATGCTTTGGCCTCCGTTTTGTTGAACCGTTGTGTAATTGTGTGTCTCCGTTGATGTTTCGTATGTCTAGAATGGTGTCCTAAGTATCCATGATAGGATTATGAGTCTTGAATCGTGCTTATGGTCCAACTTTGTGATTCGTTGGATTAATGTGAAGTCGTTGATGTTCGATTGAACCGTAATGTTTGCCCTTTTGATGTACATGCTAGTTATGATGTTGTTGATGCTAGTATGTGTTGTTCATTCGTTTCCAATGAGGATTGGGAACTTGTGTTGCCAATCATGTTAACCTTTGGATTAAGGTCTATCGTTGTTTGATTGTGGATTCATGTCTTTCATTGAAATCTATTGATTGAATTCCTCGACATGATCTTGTACATATGTTGTACACGTTTGTTGATACTTGACTGGGCTATTGATGAGCCTCAATCCTCTATGATAATGAATGTGTTACTATGAGATTGGTGTTATTGTTACTGAGCTTTGCTCATTTGATCGGTGGGATACTATCACACATGTGTTGATAAGTTTTATTACTTATTATTGAATGGCACTGCGCGTGCTAAGAGTTCGGCGGTAAAAGCTGGCGGAGTTTGGTGGGGAGCAATGGCTCCAGGAGGGAAAATGTTGGACTCGATGTATAGGGTGGCACTAGGAGGTAATTGTTGGAACTGAAATAAGGTCAGGGGTAGCCATAAGGTTGGAACTCGAAACGTATCATTGAATGTGATCCTTGACTTTATATTGCTTATGAGCATGATTATTGTTATCCCTTGATTGATTATCGTATGATGTATCTTGTTGATGAGTAAGATTGCTTTTGTCATTCTTATTGATTTATTGAGTAACCGTTTGATGTTGGTCTTTATTTGAGAGTGAACTATGATGAGTCTTATGATGTCTCTATTCCTCGTTTTAAAAGACTATATTATGTATTCCAAGTCTCAAATGATTTTCTCTATATCTATATTATATTGTACTCAACAAGTATTGGTGGGTTACTTAGCATTATTCGCTAACGGATGCTACCCCTTATGTTTTTCAGGTGATGAGTAGTTCCTTCGAGTGCGCTAAAAGACGAACTAGTTAGCGTAACTCCCTTATGCTTTCTTAGTTAGTTGTTGAGGCCTGTGAGCCCGTAGAATCGAATTTATGAATTCTATGTTATGGTTTGAATGTTTAAGTGGTGACTTTAGCCTGTGTATCTAACCTGGTGGTTAGGTGTGGCGTGACATCTCCCGGTTTACCTGTTAGCTTCCGCTTATCTTTATATCTTAATGTTAACTTTATCTCTATATTTAAGGTTTAAATTATGCTTAAAATCGGAGGTGTTATACTGGAAGACTCAACACATGGCAGTGGAAATGGGACAAATTTCCCTAACTAACACGCATTACATAAACTTGAATTGCAAGGAATAGAATTACTAGACCTACTAACCGAGCAAAACTGAAGAATATGATGTAAGATTCAATGATGTGGATGTCCTAAGCGATCATGCCACACTGATTCGATTGTGCGAGCGGAAAGAAAAGCTGAAGGAGACGAACTGATGATAAGAAGCTTGTATAGACCCCTAGAGCTATTGCCCTGTAGCAGAATTTTCTTGGTATTGATATCCTTCACGACAAAAAAAGAATGGTGAAACTCAAAGAACACTTTATTATCTGAAGTAAATTTTTGAACAGATAATAAAGATGTAGACAAAACTGGGAACATGAAGGATATTTGATAATTGAAAAGACCTAGATGAGGTATTAAAGGAAGCATGACCAACATAACTAATAGATAAACCCTTACCACCAACACGCAACGTGTCATTACCAATATATTCCTCAGACGTAGATAGGGCTGTGATGTCTGGGGTTACATGGCTAGTTGCTCCCGTGTCTGGAATCCAAACCTGAGAACCATTAATGTCTGAACTATTATCTTGATATGTCAGGTTAGCCTAAGGAGGAGGATATTTTTTTATTATCGAAGCAGTTGTAACATGCAAGAGCAGTTGACATTTAGATTGGCCGCCGCTGCCACCATTACCACTGCGGCCTCGACCGCCTTGCTACCATCCGTCACAACCACGCTGCCCGCTTCGACCACCGCCACCTCGGTTTTTGCCTTGGTTTCCGCCGTGACGAGTCTGTCCTCCCCGCTGAGGAATGAAGGCGGTTGGGGAGGACCCGTCGTTGCCGCGGATGAACTCTTGTGCGCCTAGAAAATCGGCAAACTCCACAAGAGTGACAAGCTATCCACGGACTGAAAGCGACGCCGTTAGGTTTTGATATTCTGGTCGTAACCCACAAAACACATACAAGTTCATCTTGTCCAAACCAACCGGTCGACCGGCCAAGGCTAGGTCTTCCGTAACAACGCATGCACGTCCAATATAATCAGCAATAAAGGAGTCACCTTGCCTGAGAGACTGAAGCTGAATGATGAGATTAAGTGACCGGGCACGAGACGAAGAAGCTAGAGACTGCTCTATGGACCCAAACTTCCTGCGACGTACGACGTCCAACGGCGAGGTGCATGACTTCTTTAGAGAGTGATGAAATCAACATTGACATCAATGATTTATCGTGGCAATACCACACGGCGGAGGCCGGGTTTGGTTGTGGTTCGCTGTCGACGACAACCGGCATGAAGGCCATCGGGCATGGGTTAGTCCTATCAATAAACCCCATGAGCCTGTGTCCCTCTAAAAAGGGAACTACTTGTGTCCTCCAAAACAAGAAATTTTTGCAGGTAAGCTTAATACTGATAAAGTGATGACAGCCATAGAACTAGGAGAAGTGATGGCAGCATCAGAAACGGTCCGCTCAGAGGAGTTAGCAGATTCGTCAAGGGTTCCATTGAGAGAAAATAGGAAAGGAACCTAAGACTACTAATGCCAGATGAGAACTATATAAATTGTATTAGATAAATAGTAATTACTACTGTATAGACTAACAGAATATATATATATATATATATATATATATATATATATATATATATATATAAGAGAATCATAGGAAGACTAGGATAATGAGCCATAATATGACTCAAATACATAGTAATACTAGTCCTAATAAGCACAAGGAATCAACAGTTTAGAACCTGAGAATTATTTCCAAAGTATGATAAAGATGTGAGCAATCATCATATCATGGACCATGGTTCATATTGTAAGGTAGATCACTAACATAAGGTATATTTTTATTATACTAAATATACATTTTTAATGTACTAAAGATTCATTTTTTAAAAATATATTATTTGAGTACTGAGTATACCTTTAATACACAAATAATGTATATTTAGTATATATATTAAAAATGTATATTTATTTATGGTCTATATTGCAATGTTGATCACGGTCCACAATATAATTTGTGTGAGCCGATGGTCTCTTAGGTTTCACTCTGTAGAGAAATTATTCAAGAGCCTCACCAAAAAAAAAGAAAAAAGAGAAATTATTCAAGAGATTATTCAAGAGTTAATACCCAAAATAGTCCCTCATTTATGTCGTAATTACCAATTTGGTCCTCGACTATCATTCTTACTCAATTAAATCCTCAACTATAGAATTTTTACTCAATTTAGTTCTTTGTCAATTTGACTGTTTGTTGACTGTCAAAAGTGGAAATAAAGTTGCAATTTTACAAGTTTTCTCCTTCCTCCTCATTTAGCAGCGCCAAACCATGTAGCAATAAGCTCCGGTTGGATTCTAAACCTGTCAGTATCAAAGTAGTGGTTATGCATCGGATAGCCCATGAATTTGATTTCCAATGATTTTTTGACGATCGAAATCTGATCGGAGTGTATTGCTGCATGGTTTGGCGCTGCTAAATGGAGGGGAAGGAGAAATCTTGTAAAATTATAATCTTATCCCGACTTTTGACAGTCAACAAACAGTCAAATTAATACAGAGGACTAAATTGGGTAAGAATTGTATAGTTGAGGACTAAATTCGGTAAGAATTGTATAGTTGAGGATTTAATTGAGTAAAAATTACATAGTTGAAGACTTAATTGAGTAAGAATGGTAATTGAGGACCAAATTAGTAATTATGACATAGTCGAGGGACCATTTTGAGTATTAACTCTATAATTTATGGTGTCAACTTTCCATCATCTCATATTCTCATATGATTAACATTACAGAAAACTCAACACTAATTTGAATTCATCAATATAAAAAGTTTTTTTTTATAAAATTTACAAGTAATAGATTGAAATTGTCACTTTCAACATAATTAAAGGGGAAAAATTGTAGAGTAATATACTTTATAGACTGAGTTTAAAATTTAGGTATAACTAATGACTAAAACTGTGAATTTCCTTCTAAAAGAATTAAAAATTTTAAAAATTTTGATATTGGTCATCAAAAGTTTTTCCACCACGGGTCAAAAGTGCAGGCACCATTTTTGACCATCTTTGATCGAAGAATAAAATTTCTGGTTACCATCTAGGATGGTGAGAGAACATTTTTAAAACTCAAATTTGGTTCAATTCTTGTCAACCTAAGAACCTTTGGCATTGTACCTTACCCAAGTTCGCAGAAATGCAAAGTTGATGCTCTTTTCTTCTACCTGACAACAATAAGAAAGTTCATGGCTTCTTCATACAAAGTGAGTCCTTTAATCATTTGCCTAGTTCATAGTTCTGTCTCATTCCAATCATATGTAGTTCAATCACACTGATTAGCCTCGGGCCATGCCTCATTTTGGGCTTTTGGCCAATCACACAAACACAATACTTATTCAACTATAAACAAAAGCCTTGCATGCAAATATCACTAAAGAGAAGCACACAACGGGTATACTCGCATAAATGGAGCTTGCATGCAAGCAGGTATTGTGCAGAGATGGTAAATGGTGTGTGAAATTGCATCAGTAACCGAGAAATGGTCACTACATTCCACTAAATGTATTAGTCAATAACATCGTTTGAAAATGAAATAAAGGCAACAATTTCTACTCAAATCTTAGGGAAAACAAAATTAAAATCAAACATATAGATCTCCATGCTGAAGAAGGTATGTATAAAGCAGAAATACATGACAAAAACCAACACCTGTCATTCTCGTCAACAAGAAATTTAGTAAAAGAAGCCAAGAACTTTTCCTCCAGCATTCTTTCTCCTGGCTTCCTCATGGTCCATGATGCCGGCAGATGTAGTCAGCACAATGTATCCAAACTGAAAATTCATAAAATAGAATGTGTAAACTAACACGCCAAAATCCAAAATAGCTTTTATATCATTATATAATTACACATAAAAGTAATGTACTTCTCATGGCCAAACCCAAGAGGTAATTGCAGACTTCTGCTCCCCAAGGTGATAGGATATGAGATTGACCCTTCGGAGATATACAGGATTCCCTCCTTTGCAGGAGAGCCTCAACTGCTCATCAACAAAGAAATCTTTATTTTGTGACAATTGCTACCACTTGGGTCTTGCAAATATTCAGTGAGTTGCCCCAAATTCAACGTGGATTGTCACTCTTATTTAATCAAACATGCTACGCAGAACATGATAGAGGTACAAATTGATTTATACAATCTAGACAATCAGATCAAATATACTTGAAAAAAAACAATAAATTCACTTGGAGAAAAACCCAAAGGGCTCCCTTTCAGTGTAAAATACAAATCACGAAACATAGACATGAGCTGAAAATCAAGGAAACTGGAATAAAATTTTCAGAACATAAAAACCACATCAACAATATAGAACTTTATGAGATAAACAACTTTCAGATGAGTGCCAAAGAATGTGTACCAACATTAATCCTTTGACAAGTACATTACCACAACACAATGCTGATCAGGGCCAAAAAAGATTCAACAGTATGAATCAAGAAAGATTAATAGTAAACATCTCTAAGTCGAAAATATTAATTTGAATAGTGTATGATACCTGTCTTGATGGAAGCAACCTTGCAGTCCACCCTTCAATGTCCTTGACACCAATGTCAAAACGAGGACTAATTACACCACACTTGTTTAACCTCCCATTCAACTCAACGACAATTTTACCTGCTCTGTGATCATCCACATACTCAAACTCCCCAATGTATCCTGCAAGACATCCAAGAGTAAGCAAACCAAGACCACCAAACCCATAACAGCAATTGTTCACAGAATGAAACAAACATACCATGCTTCTGCATCACCAGAAGAAACTTGACAATCACTTTTGAGGAAGGCCTAATCATAACCTGTCTCTTTCCCCTCTTCTCAGCATTGTACATGCTCTTCAGAGCATCATTCAACACACTAACTCTCACCATTTTTTAAGAAAAGTTCTATATCAAAACCCAAAAAGAAAAGAAAAAAACATTTTTTTCTCAGTAACTGGAAACAAACTGAAATTCAGACAAAAGAGTTGGATTACACAGTAGATAGCAACATATTTCTCAAAACTAAAAGGGACAAAGTGATATACTAACGATCTATGACCCGCACAAACAGAATGCATATGCTATAGCAGCTAAAAATCAACTCTCTAAAGATACGGCACCGATATGATTCACGAAAGCAATTGAAGAAACAATCAAACACAAGATTCACAAATCGAAAATCGGAAAAATTATAAGATAAATCCCAGACAACTTACCCGAACACTGACTCGTAGAAGAGGAAAGAAATCAAATCAGTGCGGCAGAGGCGAGGCGAGGCGAGGCGTTTCTTTGAATAGAGCTTGATAGTATAAAGGAAAGGAAGCGCGTTTTAAATATGGCCTGTTTTAGGGTTTCTGCTATGGACTTACAATTGGGAACAATGCTATGGGCTTACAATGGATTTTAGTGGGCCTTTGCAACGTTGCATTTTCTTTCACATTTATGAGTTGAAAAATTTTCAATTCTGGTCATATGATTATATGGACTTTGTTAATTTAGTATTTGACTTACAAAAGTGTCAATTTAGTACCTTGATTATGCAATTTTTATCAATTTTGATCACTTCGATCAAATTACCGGCCACATTTCGCGAAAGATTTCAACAGTTAAAATAATGATATACATCTCTTCCTTCTTCTCCGACGAATTCATTTTTTCCGGCGAATCCGTTGCAGCAGCACACCTTTCAAAGCATACTTAAACAGTTAAACTTATTCGTCCAAGCCGCCGCCCGCGATTTATTAGGGTTCAGATGGCCAAAATTCTGGTTGAAAACATCTGGCCGTTTGTGTAAGGGGAGCTTGAGATATTGGCAAACCTAGAAATCTCCGAACTGCACTTCTCTTTGTGCTCGTCTAGCGCACCTAATACCAAAATTTCGGTTGCAAGCTTTTTTGGCCAAAAAAATGCTTGCTCGAAGAAGAAAGCGAAATGCTAAAATTGATGCTAGTGCCTATTTATTCTAAAACGTGCGTTTAGAATACTGAGCATTCCAAGATAAGATAATTTATTTTATGAGTTAGAATAATGATTTTATGTGTTAAAATAATATAATGAATTTTCTGGAATAAAATAATGTATTTTATGAGTTAGAATAATTTACTTTATGTATTAGAATAATGTATTTTATAAGTTAGAATAATATATAATGTATTTTATGTGTTAGAATAATGAAATTTTTGGGGTAAGATAATGTATTTTATGAGCTAAAATAATGTACTTTATGTGTTAAAATAATATAATGAATTTTCTGGGGTAAGATAATGTATTTTATGAGTTAGAATAATGTATTTTATGTATTTAAATAATGTATTTTATGAATTAGAATAATGTATTTTGTGTGATTTTGTAGCGTGATCCACACATCTGTGTGGACTGTTATAATGATTGCTTTATAATTTACGAAGTAAATTATACTATAAATTAATTACATTGTAAATATAACAGTATTAAAAGAATCTATATTTTATATATATATATATATATATATATATATATATACTAGTTTTTGTACGCGCTTTGCGCGAATGGGATAATGCCCAATGATTATTTTTAAATAAGTATTTCACAGTATATCAACGCAATATTATATCGGAGATGTTCATGCATATGTAAATAAATATTGAATTTTTATTTATTTAAATCGGTAATTCAAAATATATAAATGCAAGATAATATTTATTGAATTTTCTAATCGATATTTGGTAGTGGTAGTTTTCCCCTACATGTTTTATACATTGTGAGATGTGTGTCATAGGTTATCATGTGAAAGTATTGAACAAAATATTAATATTTATTATATTTGTATAAAATACTTGGTAAATAAATATATATAATGTATTTTGTATTATAACTTTGATATTTAATTACAAGATAATGTAAAAAGAAGACACTGGACAATGCAGTGAATATAATAAATTAATAAATTTTTTTTTTGAATGTTACTGGCCCTATTACATTGTAGTATCTGTTCATATACTTTCTCAACCTACTAAAACACAAAGAACCAATAACGCCTCCACCAAGGCTTGAACTCATAACCTTCCAAATAGAAGTCCAACCCGGGTACCATTAGACAACATAGTCTTAGTTTTTGAATTTTTGAATTGTAGAAAATAAAGATAATATAACTAATGAAATTATATCTATTTTTAAATTTTTTATAATGAATATTTTTTTTAAATAAAGGCATTATAGACATCTAATTCTAAATTAATTAAATGCATATGTATTATTTTTTGTTGTAGCTACTACTTTATTTAGTTTAAGAGCAATAAAGTGGGCAAATTATGCTATGGAACCGTGTCCACCTTGCAAGGTGGACATGCATATCGGAGATGTCCATGCATATGTAAATAAATATTGAATTTGTTTATTTAAATCGGTAATTCAAAATATATAAATGCAAGATAATATTTATTGAATTTTCTAATCGATATTTGGTAGTGGTAGTTTTCCCTACATGTTTCATGCATTGTGAGATGTGTGTTGTAGGTTATCATGTGAAAGTATTGAACAAAATATTAATATTTATTATATTTGTATAAAATACTTGGTAAATAAATATATATATATAATGTATTTTGTGTTATAACTTTGATATTTAATTACAAGATAATGTAAAAAGAAGACAATGGACAATGCAGTGAATATAATAAATTGATAAATTTGAAGGTAATGAATCTTTGAATTGTAGAAAATAAAGATAATATAACTAATGAAATTATATCTATTTTTAAATTTTTTATAATGAATAATTTTTTTTAAAAAAAAATAAAGGCATTATAGACATCTAATTCTAAATTAATTAAATGCATATGTATTATTTTTTTGTTGTAGCTACTACTTAATTTAGTTTAAAGAGTAATAAAGTGGCGTATATACTTTTCATCAACAATAATGCAATCATTGATTTTAAAAAAAAAATACATACAAAATTTATTAATGCAAAAGTATAATTAAAATATTAAGTTTTTTTCTGATCTAAATAATCTAAAGAATATTAAGTTTTTTTCTGATCAAATGATTTTTAAAGTTCTTGATTTATAATCTTTGATGCTTAACTTTGAATATTATGTATTTAGGCAGACTAATTATTTGAACAAAGTTTATGTTAAATTTTATATTATATATATTTTAAATATATTTTAACATATTCGTAGTATATGTTTAACAATTATGCCAACTGTAATTGAGATGTGGTTCGAAACTAAGACTTTTCTTATAGAAATTAATGTGTAAGTTAAAATAATAAATACTTAACGGAATATTCCGTTACTAAAGTTTATGCTAACGAAATTTAGGTTATTCAAGGGAAGAAAATAATATAATAGAGGGTAAATAAGAAAAATCAATAAAAAATACTAAAATAAAAATAATATGAACCATTCATTTTAAGAAACAATAGTATAATATGAACCATTCATTTTAAGAAACAATATGACCGACATTTTTTTGTTCCACTTAAGGGCCTAACATTATTGGCACTTATTAGAATTGTATTGTATGTATTGTATTGTTGTAGATGTAGATGTAGATAGATGTAGATGTATATTGTATATTGTATATTGTATATTGTGTGTGTATATATATATATATATATATATATATATATATATATATATATATATATATATGTAACCCTCCTATTTCATTTTCGCTCTCATACTTGTGTAGTAAACATATTTGGTAAGTAAATGTAAAATGGAAATTAATTAAAATTTATTAATTTGTAATATTACATAATTACACATTTCCTTTTTGAAAAATTATACAAGTTTATAATTCTCATATTTTCTACCTATAAATACAATGGATTGGTGACTTTGGAAATCATAATTTTTCCTTTTACACTGTTCCTCTCTTCTTCCTGTTCTCTCTGTGGAATCATATCTTGGTGTTGCACTCATAAAACGTAAGTATTTTTTTTTTTAGAGTTTTCAAGATGATGATGACGACGACGACGAGGAGGACGATTATTATTATTATTATTATTATTATTATTATTATTATTATTATTATTATTATTATTATTTTGCAATTATAGCCTGAAGTGTTTTTAGTGCCGAAGGATCCAACGGATTGGACGTTGATGGAAACCCCGGTAACATTGACTACAAAACTGATTTCTTAATTTTTCGACAGCAAGGAAGGGCCGGCGTTTTCCTTCTTCTCCACACAAGCAACGAAGCGCTTTGCCGAACCGAAAAGTAATTTTTTCCAAATGATGAGTTTGAATTTACTTGTGTTCATCTATCTCTAACTCTTGGGTTTGTTCACTATTGCACATGTAGGTCCAAACATACATTAAAGATATTATTTAGTATCCCATGTGTAATTAATGTATAAGAAATGTTGTAGAATATAATGGTACTCTCATATCATAATACATACTGCAGTTTGAAGTGTTCTCCCGATTTCCTACAAATAAAAATGGACAATTAGAAAAATGAAGGTGATAGTATTAAAAAAAAATGAAGGTGAATATGAATTTGATTATAGATGAAAATAATATGTGATTGTGCTGAGGCATGAAAGAAAATCATTTTCTTTAATTAGGTAATTTTTATTTTAGCATATCTTACTATTTACTATAAAGTCTATATACTGTAACATATTTCTCTATTTTATGTAAAAAGCCTATATAAAAAAATCCACAATTCACGAAAAATGGAAAATAAAATGAAATTCACTAATTAATTAGTACTAATAATAATCAGTAACAAAATTAACAGTAAAATAAAAAAAATAAAAAAAGAATACACAATTCACTAAAAATGGAAAAGGAAATATAATCCACTGATTAATTAATACTAATAATAATAAGTAAAATAGGAAGAAAAAAAATGATCCTTAATTCATTGAAAATGAAAAAGGAAAGGCAAGATTATGTAAAAAAAAAAAAAAATCATAATAACAATACCAGTAAAAAAATGAAAATCTTATAAAAATTACTAATTAATAATAATAAGGATATGAAATTAAATTAATAATAATAATAATAATGATAATAATAATAATAATAATAATAATAATAATAATAATAATAATGTATACTATTAATAAAAATAAAATACTTCTATGTAGTTTTGATTTTGAAGTAGTTTCCTAATTTCCTACAAATTAAATGGATGTTTAGGAAAATGAAGATGATAGTATTCAAAAAAAAAAAAAAATGAAGGTGAATATGGACTTGATTATAGAGGAAAATCATTTTTTTATAATTAGGTAATTTTTATTTTAGCATATCTTACTATTTACTATAAAGTCTATATACTGTAACATGTTCTTATATTTT